GCGTCCTCAGGTGCCCGCCCCTTTCCGCGCGCGCCGGAGCCTCCGTACCTCTGCACTTTACTTTCGTAGCTCCTCTGAGTCTGTGTGCTCTTCTCTTTCCTTCTAGTTGTAGAATTTCCACTCAGCCAGCCTTCCTGTGGTTCTGGATGATGACCGTTCTGTCTTTTAGTTGTATTTTTGAAGTTGTTGTCGGAGGCAGCAATTTCCGGTGTTTACCTATTCCGCCATCTTGGTTTCTCCTATCCCAAAGATTTAAAACTGAGCAGAGGTATGGGGAGATTTCTGAAGGAGAATCACTGAGCTTTCTTATTTCAGAGCCTGTCCAGTTCTCTTCCTGCTGATTCCAGATATACTCACCTCTAGTGTAGATGGGCAAAGTCCTAAGTGTGGCCGAGCATCAAGATCCAACCCTCCTTTGAGAGGGAGTTCCCAAGTTCCAGAAGAGGTGTCCTTTGTGATTTGATTTTTTAAAAACATAAAGTAAATGTTGAGAATATGCGGGATTTTCAAAATGAAGCAGCCTGTGGAGGCAGGGAACGTGCGAGGTGGCTGTTGAAAGCGGGGGCGCCTGAAGGGTCTGCTGCCACTCTGCTGCTCCCCTGTGTCACGGATGCCTCCTGTGGCTGCCAGGACTGTATGGCAGAATAAATACCCTCAGATGTCACCTGTCAACAGCGGATGTTTTGGAAGATTGATGCTTTTAGTCAACAGAGAAGGAGAAAAAAGTGTGTCTTAAAAAAAGAATATTCTTTTGGAACTTTCAGACTATTGGTGACAGACTCGATCCCAGAGGGAGGGGTGCAACCAGAGGTCAATACTTAAAGTGAAATAACATCTTAGTAGGTGTCAGAGCTATTAAGGGGGATTCTGGACAAGTTCAAGAGAAGTGTAGTATTTTAGGCCATTTAACCAGGATAAAGGAATGGTGGGGTTCTCATGGATTTGAAGAGAACAAAGAAATATCTTATTTTCCCATTATATGATTGCACTATAATTTTTTAAACCAGTACCCTCTTCGATAAGCATTTAGCTAGTTTCCAGTGTGTTTTTCTATAACTAGCGGTGCTGCAATCAGTATATTTTACACATGCCCTGGTTGTGTTGCTGAGAAGAAATTCCTAGCAGTGAATAAGGTATGTGAATTTTACATTTCGATAGGTACTACCAAATTGCCCCACAAAAAGATTGTTCTAACTCATACTCCCACCAGCAGCATATGATAGCGCCTATACGAGCAAAATTTAATTTTCAGGTAATAAATATTTCTGTGTTACCTTATATTACCTTAAGAAAATATGCAACTCCTTTCTACTTCTCTGAGGTCCCAAGTGAGGTCAGCCGGTGTCAGATAAATTCTCCCAAGGGAATCCAAAGAGAGGGGGAAACTGTATTTAACAGTTACTCCTTTGTGACCCCCTTCTCCAGCTCCTCCTGGCTCTGAGGGAAGGAGCTGGCGGGGGACTTGATCTGAAGGAATCCAATGGGTCTTGTTTGTGGGCACGCTGGACAAGTCCTTAGCCTCTTCACTTTAAATATTTAAAAATATATTGCCATAGACCAATTCCAGCATGTCATAATTTCAAGAGTTTCATCAAAAGGTTGATGAGACTTGGGGACTCAACAGGGTTGAGTCACACATGTAGTCACCTGTTGGGAATGGCTAAAGGCATTTCCCCAAACCTGAATAGGAAACTGATTGTGGCTGCCAGACAGTTAAAGGGCATCTTAATCTACATGTTATTGCCTCCTACTGGCCAAACACCTGAACAGCTGTAGGCTATTCCCCAAACTGACAATGCTTCTGTACCCTTTGAAACCTTACCCTTTGAAGTGTATTATCTCCACCTTGCCTTAGGACAAATTGTGTTAATAAAAGCAAGGGTCCTAGACAAGGAGGGAGTCTTCAGTTCCTTTAGCTGAAGGTCCTCTGACCCCCCAATGCCTTTCAAAATTATATCTCGTCTCTGGACTCTTTATTAGTCTCTGGATTCCTATGTCATCTACACACAGCCTTTTCCCAATTCCTGAACCCTTCTTGATGCTGGGACAAGAACCCCGGCAATATATATTTTTCATTGATGAGAGAGAGGAGGGGGGAAGAGAAAGAGAGGGAGAGAGGGAGACAAAGAGAGAAACATAGATTTGTTGTTCCACTTACTTACGCATTCATTGGTTGCTTTTTGTATGTGCCCTGGCTAACTGGAGATTGAACCCACAACCTTGACATATCGGGATGATGCTCTAACCAACTGAGTTACCCAGTCAGGTTGGCCTCCTCCCTTTATGTGCATCAAATCAAGAAAACCTTATGGACAGGAAGCACGCACTAGAACTTTTGTTTCTCTTTTCAAATAAGTGAGCCATATGTATTATATGTACTCTTTACCCCAAGTTAAGATATTATATGCAGTCCATTTTGAGATATCTTGTTTTGGTTTATTTTTAGCTGAGGGGTGGGAAAGACCTTGAAGAGACCTGTAAATAGATGTAAAATAACAGTAACTACCAAATTTTAAATGCTGCTAAGTTCTAGACAAGGTACTAAGCATTTTTAAAAGTACCTGATCTAAATTTCTTACAATAGCTGTAGGTGTGTTCTCATTATTCAGTTAAGGAACTTAGTGCTTAGACACATTATAGAACTTGCAGATTTGAACCATGATCTATGTGGCTTCAAAGTCCCCATACTTTGGGGCATACTACTGTGAAGTGCTGCAGGTTGCTGTGTGACTTATCTTCTATAAATTGGATGATGCCTGAAGAGCATAGAATCCACAGTACTTCTCACTGCCCTTTGCTAGCTATATGACTTTGGGCAGATTACTTAATCTTTCTGTGTCTCAGTTTCCTTATCTGAAAACGGGGATATTAATAAAACTCTCTTTTAGGGTCGTGAGGTTTAAGTGAATAATTATATGCCAACTGCTTACAGCAGTGCATGGCATAAAATAAGGACAAATGCTAAATGCTAACATCATCATCATCATGATTACTTCTTTGCAAGGGAAATGGGGTGCTTAATGTACTAAGCCTTGATGATAAACATTCTTAGAGTGTGGAGCTAGGACCACCTTCTAAAGCCATGAGCCTCCATATTAGAAACTGAGGTTCAAAGGGAAGTATGGGGCACCTTACCTTTAAGTCATTTACGATCTTTGTGTTACGAAATTTGCATTCTGATGCAAAATTATCATTTCTATCACGACTGTTTTGAAAACATGTGGGAATGAATGAGTTCAGACTTTCAGAGTAAAAATTCTTCTGTCACTTGGCACAGTGAGGAACGCACAGCGGAAGCATATTCTTGCAGCCCATCAGATCATCCACAGGCACACAGGAGACATGCTTGCAAGGGACTTCGCTGAGCAACCGCAAGATGAGCACTGACAAGTTACTTAAGGAAAAAACTCAAAGTGAGAAAGACAGCTAAGGTGAGTTTGATTTTTCCATTTGGAAGGAAGTAGAGAGGAGGGAAAGTAGCATCATTCAGCTTTGAGCTATCTATAATAATAAAAAGCATAATATGCAAATCAACCGAACAGCCAAACAGCTGAACAACCTTCTGGACGACCACACTATGACACCAGGCCAGCCAAGGCGGGTGCGATGTGATTGGTTGGGGGCCCCACCATTGCCCCATGATCACCTCGCGGAGCTCCATGATCCATCGCCCCCCAGAGAGAGGCCCAGGCTACCTGGCCTGCAACGCTGCAGTGGGTAGGCGAGGCCTCCCTCTGCAGGGCATCAATCGCGGGACTTCTGGACTTTGAGAGGATGCAGGCCGGGCTGAGGGACCTCCCCCCCACACCCCCAGTGCATGAATTTTGTGCACTGGGCCTCTAGTACTCTAATAATCATCATATGAAAAGATTGCCCATTGTTTAAGAAGATGAAGCACTCCCATGTAAATTGGCATATTTCATCTAGGATATGGAACATGCTATTGAAATTTTTAAAGAATATAGTAGATATTATAGCAGTTGGACTCTTGTGACCAGAAAACAGGACTCTAGATTATTTTTATGGTTTCTTTTAGCGTGTGACTGTACTTATCACAAATAAAGCTGCAAAAAAAAGAGCTTGTTCTCATGGAGGTTCCTCTATTGCATTGTGCTAGTTGTAAGCATAGCACGAGGCACAGCCTGCCTGATTCCAGCTCAGATGCTTTCTGCAGTGTCCACCAGGGGTTGGTTTTAGGCTCAACTAAATAGTCACATGCATAAGACTGACATGGACCACATTTGATAGGATTTGTGTATCGGTCTACTCAGCAAGATACAAGGCAGGAACCACAGCGTCCAGCAGAGCCTCAGGCAGTTCTCTTCCTGTGGGAGCTCTTGCCGTAGCCACACAGAAGAACACAGCCCCTTTCTTTAGCCCCCAGGTTACATAGTTCAGGTACAAGGAAAAGAGATTCACATTGAGTGGGTGCAGGAGTTGTCTGGTTTACATGTCCCAGGGCCAGTATTGCTTGTAATAATTCCATAGGCAGAGTTTCCAGGGTCCCCCAATGGATTTGCCCAGTTACAAAAGTCAGCACACTCAGGGTTGGCTCAAAGCTACAGTTTCCTATTCAGTATTAATAATTCACTTATTAACCCTTCCCAGTCAGATTCTAGTTACCACTCAGGGGTCATTTTTGGCTCAAGTAGTGTTAGTAACATACTTGACACTTGTCACCTATCAGATTACTAGGAGAACAGAGCTCAAGAGTCAATTGAAACTAAAATTCTCATGAGAAGGGAAAACGGAGTGAACCTTTGCCTATACCTTCTCCCTCACACTCCCATAGCAGAGGCACAACATTCATTGTTGGGCCTGAGGGTATGCTGTCAGGTTAGGGAAGGAGCCAAAGCTTAGGGGGGAAATTGAGCCTGGCGGTCAGAAGGTTTGGGGGTTGGCCATCTCTGCCACCAACTGTAGAATCTTATACAATTAATTTCTTTTCACTTGAGGCATGCCCATGCTCATGTGACCGAGAGACCCTCTTAGGGGAATCTGCTGGGACTTTAAGTCTTAATAAAAGAGGGTCATGGAAGGAGGGTTGAGATGAGGGGGCAGTGAAGAAAGAAAGCAGAGAAAAAACTGATAAAGGACTCTTAAATATCAGGCTGTGGATATCATTACAGCAGAAAAGCTTTTTTATTTTTAATATACTTTTATTGATTTCAGAGAGGAAGGGAGAGAGAGATAGAAACATCAGTGATGAGAGAGAATCATCGATGGGCTGCCTCCTGCACACTCCACACTGGGAATCGAGACCACAATCCAGGCATAAGCCCTGACCAGGATTTGAACCATGACTCTCTGGTTTACAGGTTGATGCTCAAACACCGAGCCACCCAAGTTGGGCAGTAAAGCTTTTGTTTTTTTTTGTTTTGTTTTGTTTTTTTAATGTTTCTTTTTTTTTTAATATATTTTATTGATTTTTTACAGAGAGGAAGGGAGAGAGATAGAGTTAGAAACATTGATGAGAGAGAAACATCGATCAGCTGCCTCCTGCACATCTCCTACTGGGGATGTGCCCGCAACCCAGGTACATGCCCTTGACCGGAATCGAGCCTGGGACCTTTCAGTCCACAGGCCGACGCTCTATCCACTGAGCCAAGCCGGTTTCGGCAAAGCTTTTGTTTTTAATTAATAATGAAATAACCTCTGAAATCATTGAAGATATAATCCATATATTTATTTGCATGTTATATACTATCTGTATAATATAATTTGGACCAAAGCATTTTGACTATCATTATTGTGATAAAAGTCAACCTTGTTGTTGGGGTAGTCATTTTTCTTGCATGCAAATGTAATGAGATTAATAATTTACATAGTTTGACTTGAATACATCCACATTTACTTCTTAGTATAACACACCTGTGCTATGACATCCATGGTGATCTGTGAAATCAAGCCACAGGAGTGTTAAAATGATTTTTTCCTTTATGCTTACTGAAACTAAAATACATTTCATTAAAACCCATTATATAGTTATAAAGTACAGTTAAAAATATAGTTGCCAAGCTAACCAAAGACACTCAGCAAGAAAGAGCAACCGATAAATTAATAAAGTATCTTCTTAACACTCGATTGAATGTTTGGAACATGATGCTTAATAGCCCCCATAGTACATATTTCTCTTCCTTCCTTCTCTCAGAGGGAAGATGGGAAGGACAGCTGTGAGATTATAATAATGCTTAGAGAAAGGGACCACTGATTAAAATTTTTTAAATTGGCTTGAAGACAATAAAGAGCTAATAAAGCAGTGAGGAATTTCTGGGCAAAAATTTAGAAGACAAATTCACAGCTTTGGAGCTGGCCTTTGGAGCCACTTTTTTTTTTTTAACCGGAGGGAATATGCAAATTCTTTAAAAAATGTGGCTGAAAAGCTTAACGGTGCTTTTATCAGCTTTGTAAAACTAGGGGGACAAAAACTGGAGTCAACTTGAGGCTCTGGTAAACCTCCTCCATTTGGGCTGGGACTCGGAAAGGCTGTGCTCTGGTAGGAAGGGTTGCTTGGGTGTAAACCAAGCATGTCAAACTTGCAGTGCAGCCCACAATGAATATTTTTGCGGCCCAGCCAATATAACGGTATGTAAGAAACATTTTAATAAAAATTTCGTAACAATTTTTACAATATCCTGTTATACATAATTATTAGTAATGAACTACAACGTTTGCTAATGACTGATTACTATAATTGTGTTGCATTCATTTCCCTTATGCGCCTAACGCACAGGCACACCATTTCTCTCCACTAATACTAGCAGCGAATATTTTAGCAGCCAATTGCCACGATATCAGTCTTGTACTGACTTGTGTGGTGTGCGCAACAGGAAATACTTCACTTTCGGAGAACAAGAAAAATAGGTTTATTTGCGTTACGCTTATTAATTTGTGCAGTTATTCAGTATCTGGTAAGTTAATGTTCAAGAAAAAATATTAATTTTATGAAAATGTTCTATTATTTTATGTTAACGATTACTCATTTATTTCAGCTCTTTGTATTCAGCATGTCTCTATCAAAATAAACCTACGTTTCTGTGAAAATTGAAGCTTTTGGGTTCTTTTGTCCCACATGAACTTAAACCTTGTTTATTTGGCCCATGTTAGCCTTTGAGTTTGACATGCTTGCTGTAAACTATCCCTCTCATAGACTACAGTTCAGCTTCTAATCATTTGAATGATCCAAAAAATATCTCAACCTCAGAAATTAAATTAAAGAGATACTTAATTCCTGTTGCCTCAAAATACTTGTCAGAAACAAAAGTTAAATTCTCATTGGAGAAAGTTGACATTATTCTAGACCTCAGTTTATTTTCACAAACAGTTTTTCATATACAATTTCCAGAACACAATCAAGAATGTCCCGATTTATAAGGAGGCACATAAAAATGTAAACGAGCAGCAGCAGAAATTATGTAGATCATAGAAACAGACCTAAAGGGAGCTAAAATATTGGAATTAGTAGACATGGATTTTAAAATAACTATGCTTATTGCTTTGGATTTCTAGTCTTCAGGATTGTGAGAAAATAAGTTTCTGTTATATAAGCTGCCCAGTCTCTGGTGTTTTGTTATGGCAGCCCACTCTAAGATTTTGATCCCAAGAGTGGAGTGTTGCCACAACAAATATGTAAGCATGTGGAAGCAGCTTTGGAACTAGATAATGGGCAGAGGCGGGAAGAGTTTTGAGGTGCATGTTGGAGATACGGATGCTCATGGCGATTCTGGCGAACTTTCAGACAGAAGTGAGGAATGCGTTATTAGAAACCCGAGGAAAGACAATCCATGTTATAAAGCAGCAAAGAACTTATCTAAACTTTGTTCTGTTTTATGGAAGGTGGAACTTGCAAGCATGAAATTGGATATTTAGCTGAGAAGATTTCTAAAGAAAATGTTGAAGGAGTTGGTTTCTTCTGGTTGCTTATAGTAAAATGTGAAGGAAGAGAAATGAAGAAGGAATTGTTAAGCAAAAAGGGGCAAGAACTTGAAGATTTGGAAGAATCTTAGCCTATCTGTATTTCAAAACGTAAGGAAGTATATTCTGTAAAGAACACTAAGGCTGTGGCTGACAGCTATTTGACAGAGAGCTTATGCGAACTGAAAGGGCTGGAAATGAAGGAAGGCTGTTGGGCTTCTTGGATTTGACCAGATGAGACAATACAGCTATTATGCTCCAAATGTGCACAATTCTTCAATAGACAAAAATAACCTGGAAGGCGATTTAAAATTAGGGCCACTGTCTCAGTTTCAACAGGTCAGATGACTTCTGCCCAGAAGCTTAAGGGTGGGACCACCCATAGGACCCTACCCAGGGAGCCATGGGGATGGCACACCGTAGAGATGAAGGGGTGGGGTCACCCTACATGGGAGTAATTGGGCCGTGCTAGTGACCTGGAAGCTAGGACAATGAGCTAAAGGATTAACCTCAAGCTTTAAGATCCAGTAGAATTTGTCTGGCTAAGCTTTGGACTTGCATGGGACCCATTCCTTTTTTCTTCCTTCTCACTTCTCTCTTTTGGAGTGAGAATATCTATCCTGTGCTTGACCCATCATTGTATTTTGAAGCACATAACTTGTCTGATTTACAGCTGAAGAAGAATGTTGCCTCAAGATGAATCAAACCTTGAGACTCGCCCACATGTAAATTAGATGATATTGAGATTAGATATTGGACTTTAGAATTTAGAAGTGGTGTTCAAATGAGTTAAGACCTTGGAGCTGTTGGGATGGAATGAATGTATTTTGCATGAGAAGGATGTGAATTTGGGGGATGGGTGTAGAATGCTCTGCACTGAATTGTGTCACCCCCAAATTCATATGTTGAAGCCTTTAACCTCTAAGACAGTGGTCGGCAAACTCATTAGTCAACAGAGCCAAATATCAGCAGTACAACGATTGAAATTTCTTTTGAGAGCCAAATTTTTTAAACTTAAACTATATAGGTAGGTACATTGTTATTAACTTAATTAGGCTACTCCTAAGGCTTAGGAAGAGCCACACTCAAGGGGCCAAAGAGCCGCATGTGGCTCGCGAGCCGCAGTTTGCAGACCACGGCTCTAAGATATTGACGTTTGGAAATGAGGCATGTGGGAGATAATTAGGATTCGATGAGATCATGAGGGTGGGCCCCTCATGACGGGAATAGTGTCTTTATTAGAAGAGACACCAGAGTTTGCTCTCTGTCTTTCTCTGCCATGTGAGGACACAGCTAGAAGGCAGCCATCTGTAAAATGTTTCATAAAGCAGTGTCAGCCATTTCAGAGTTGAAATTATGCAGTGTGTTCTCTGATAAAAAATGCAATGAAATTAGAAATCAATGACAAGATAATTCTAAGATGTTTGGAAATTTAGAAATGTATTTGTAAATAATCTCTTCATCAAAAAAGTGTCAGGACAGAAACTAGAAAATATTTTGAACTGAAGAATAACAAAAATGCCATGTATGTATCAAACTTGTGGAATGCTGCTAGTGTGGCGCTTACACAGGAATTTGTAGTCTTAAAGGCATTTATTAGAAAAGAAAGGGTGAAAATAAGACTAAGCATCCTTTTTAAGAAATTATAGAAAGAACAGCAAATTAGAGGCAAAAATGTAAAAGGAAGAAAATAACAAAATAAAAATAACAGAAATTAATAAAACAGAAAATAGACATGTCTTCTGATTCTAGGTAGGATGTAGTAGGTAGCTATAGTAATGAGAAAATAATGAGCACATTGTAAGTGTTATATTTTTAAAGGCATCGGAGAGCTGTGGAAACAAGGGGACTAGATGCACTAAAATGGCAGAGAGGAAAGAATCCTTCCTAAGTGATCTGAGGTCGCTGGCCATTTTCTTCCTCTGAGCATTGGCCACATCTGGGCACAAGCTAAGACGCAGGCTTGACTAAGACCGAGGGACTTTACTAACGGAATGGCGATCTGCTTTATAGACTTCCTGAGCTGTCAAAAGCTGAAAGATGTCTTGGGCTCATGAACACAGTAAAATATACAGATGATATATTATTGAATTGTACCCCTGAAACCCATATCCTTTTATTAACCAGTGTCACCCCAATGAACTCAATAAAAAATACAATAAAATATTTTTTAAAATCTTTTGTATATTATTCTAGTCCCATTTTTTAAAAAAAGGAGAGGAGATTAGGACACAGGCAACATACAGATCAGGAGGTGGCCATGTGAAGGTACAGCAAGAAGGTAGCCATCTGCAAGCCAGGAAGAAAGGCCTCAAAAGGCACGAACCTGCTGGCACCTTGATCTTGGACTTACAGTCTCCAGAACCAAGAGAAAATAAAGTTGCTATTTAAGCCGGCCAGTCTGGGGTATTTGTTATGGCATTCCTAGCTAACTAACAAAAAATTACAGAATTAAAACAAAAAGTTAAAATAAAGCAGAGAGATAAATTGAAGAAGGAATTGCTAAGCAAAAAGGAACAAAAAGTTGAAGAGTTCAATTCTTAAACATATATGCAGTGGATATATTTTCTGAGTTTAAATTACACGTCCAGGAGCAGTTTTCAACCTTGAAACAAGTGCAAAGGAAATGTCCATATTTCAAGTCTATTTGTGCAATGGAGGCATGTCCACCTAACCCTCCATTGGAAGTGATTGAACTGTGTTGTAATGAGATGTCAAAAGGCCTCTAATGGAATTCTAGAAATGCCTTCTACGTAACAAGTATGCATGCACAATTAGAAGCCTGTGCTCACAATTGATAGCGGCGTTGGAACAAGTGTCTGTGTGGACGACATCTTCAAAGCGGAGGTAGGGAATGTCTCCTTGCACATCACCGTTGACAGCGAACATTTGCAGTCTATTTTGAACTTCAATTAAGCAAAATTATTCCTAAATACTAGTTCATTCTCATTAGTAGATCTCTATTACAAAAAAACTGTAGTTAATTGTATTATTAGTCTTTTGAATTTTATAAAAAAGAAAAATAGTGTGATGGTTTGTTTTCTCTCTTGTTATTAGAGTACTTTCATAATGTCCTGGATTTTGTCTCTTGGCCCATAGAGGCTAAAATACTATCAGTCTCTTTGCAGAAAAAGTGTCAATCCCCACTTTCCAGCAGTTAAAATCAATGATGGAGAACTAAATACAGCAACATGGATGAATCTCACAGATAAAGGATTAAAAGAAGAAAATTTTTAAAAATCTAAAATGAGTATTCTAGTCCCATTTTTTAAAAAAAGGAGAGGAGATTAGGACACAGGCAACATACAGATCAGGAGGTGGCCATGTGAAGGTACAGCAAGAAGGTAGCCATCTGCAAGCCAGGAAGAAAGGCCTCAAAAGGCACGAACCTGCTGGCACCTTGATCTTGGACTTACAGTCTCCAGAACCAAGAGAAAATAAAGTTGCTATTTAAGCCGGCCAGTCTGGGGTATTTGTTATGGCATTCCTAGCTAACTAACAAAAAATTACAGAATTAAAACAAAAAGTTAAAATAAAGCAGAGAGATGAATTGAAGAAGGAATTGCTAAGCAAAAAGGAACAAAAAGTTGAAGAGTTCAATTCTTAAACATATATGCAGTGCATATATTTTCTGAGTTTAAATTACACATCCAGGAGCAGTTTTCAACCTTGAAACAAGTGCAAAGGAAATGTCCATATTTCAAGTCTATTTGTGCAGTGGAGGCATGTCCACCTAACCCTCCACTGGAAGTGATTGAACTGTGTTGTAATGAGATGGCAAAAGGCCTCTAATGGAATTCTAGAAATGCCTTCTACATAACAAGTATGCACAATTAGAAGCCTGTGCTCACAATTGATAGCGGCATTGGAGCAAGTGTCTGAGTGGACCACATCTTCAAAGCGGAGGTGGGGAATGTCTCCTTGCACATCACCATTAACAGCGAACATTTGCAGTCTATTTTGAACTTCAGTTAAGCAAAATTATTCCTAAATACTAGTTCATTCTCATTAGTAGATCTCGATTACAAAAAAAAACACCTGTAGTTAATTATATTATTAGTCTTTTGAATTTTATAAAAAAGAGAAATAGTGTGATGGTTTGTTTTCTCTCTTGTTATTAGAGTACTTTCATAATGTCCTGGATTTTGTCTCTTGGCCCATAGAGGCTAAAATACTATCAGTCTCTTTGCAGAAAAAGTGTCAATCCCCACTTTCCAGCAGTTAAAATCAATGATGGAGAACTAAATACAGCAACATGGATGAATCTCACAGATAAAGGATTAAAAGAAGAAAATTTTTAAAAATCTAAAATGAGTATTGCTATGAAGTTCAAAATGTTGTGTTTAGAAATGCATGATTAGGAGGTAAAGATATAAAGAAAAGCAAGGAAGTGATGACTTTACAAATAAGAATAGTGATTACGTTTAGAGGGTGGGAAAGGATTGTGATTGGAAGGAGCAAGTGGGAGCTTATAGGGCTTGTTGACGCGGGGGTGGGGGGGAGGGCGGTATTTACACAGATCTGTGATTGGGAAGGAGCAAGTGGGAGCTTATAGGGCTTGTTGATGGGGGCGGGGGGTATTTACACAGATGAATCTTCTACATGAATTTATTAGGCTGCACATTGGTTTTCTGTACTTTCCTATTTGTGTAATATCCCATAATTAAAACTTAGAAATGTGTATGTGTATACACATGCATGTATATACCTGCATTGTGCCTGCAACACACACAGACAATTTCTGGAAGATCAACAGAAGATGGGTAAGTAGTAGTTGGTAGGCATGGAGACTGGAGACTGAAGGTAAGACTGAGGGGAAAAAGACTGACTTTCTTCATGTTTTTCTAGATCCTTTATGGTGCATACATCTTAAGTTTCCAGTTATAACCCAGTTAATGTAAAGGTTTGTTAAGTGCTAGAATTTGGAAACTGAGACCCTGTGAGCTAAGAAACATTTGGACCAGGGGCTCATAAGCCGCAGAGCGGGAATGTGCCCGGGGCTGTCTGACTTCAAAACCGGGGCTCGGTGCCATTGTGTCACAGTAACTTTTTGGATGTATTGTTTTGATAATGATGGTTTCTCATGAACATTTGTGTTGTTTCTTACAGGCTATGATCTTTTTAAAAGAAGCTATACAAATCATCATAAAGAATTTCAGTAGTCCATGCTTCTCCCAAGATGTGTGTCTCTTATGGGCTTGTCAATGTGTGATTCATGAAGAGTATATTTCTCTTAAACTCACAATAATTTAAAATGGTGTTCAGTAATAATAATCAAATGAAGGAGCTTTATTCTCTTTGGTCTGTGTGCCAAAAGGCATGACAAGAAGCTTCATAGCAGGACCATTTATGAGAGCCCTAAACTAGAAACTCAAATGTCCATCTACATTGCAATAGACAAATGGTGCTATAGCAATACCATCAGCTCACTATTGGGCTTTAGATCTAAGAAGTATATTCATGCAATACCTGTAGAGAGGGCGATGTTGGAGAGCCATCTGCCCATCCTGTGTGCTGACAAACATCAGGGTTGGATGGATCCTTCCTCATTTAGAGATCGGTAAATAGGAAAAACAATAAATAAACAAAAGCATCAACAAATTAACAGGGTACCCGTGCAAAGAATTGACAAAAGAAAATGGATGTTACTCTAAAAATGGATGTTACTCTTATAAAATACCTTATTATAGAAAACAAGAAAAATTATCTGCTTGATGTTTTGAATAGGAGGCCAAAAAAAGTGGCCTTTTAGGAAACTGAAACAGGAAATAATAAGAACAGACAGCAGCCAGAGAACAGACAGATGCAGGCTGGAAAGAAAAGAAAGCTGGCTGGTACTGGAAATAATGGGGGGAACACTATGTAAAGAAGATGATTGTCTAACCACTATGCTGTACACCTGAACTAATACAAAATAATACTGAATGTAAACTGCATTTGAACAAAAA